CACCCTGCGGCACAGGCTTCTGAGGGCACAAATCTTGTGATGCTCACGGGTAGCGTGTTTTGGAGATGTCAAAGGTGTTGTGGAAACATCAGCTTCCAGAGTCATTGTTAGGAATAGCACAGATCAGCCAGGGCAGGCTGTTTCTGGCAACGGGGCTCCTGTTTTTGAAAATTAGTTTTTGAAGCAAACAATTTGTGTCTGTTCTTGGAAGGTCAGAAGACGGAGAGGAGAAGGAGAGAAAGCATCCCCCATCCTCAGCCCTCGGAGATGACAGCAGTGCTCTTTATGCTTGAAAACATGAGAAAACTTTTTTCCAGGTAGGTGTGTATTTTTTTTTTTTCCCTTTTCACAAAAAAATGGGATCCCGCTCTGCATTCCTCAAGCAAGCTGGCTGCTGTCACTTCTGCCCCTTGCAGAAAACACCTGGAGGAAGCCCCTCCCTTTCTGCCTGCCCCATGTGATCGTGGGGGGTGGGCTTCGGAGGGCCCATTCCCCAGATCTGGACTGCCCCCCCCCCCCGCCCCGAGTAGCACACAGCCACAGTCTTCAGTGGGAAGACATTGCTCATGAATGTCATGGACACTGGCCGCCTCCTGCAGCGCCCTAATAGGGCGCACATCCTGTGGGATTTCAATCATTCACTATATTGTACAGCCGTCACCATGAACTTCCAGAACATTTTGAAGAAACCCAAACCCATGAGCAGGGAGCGCCTCCCTTCCCTGCCCTCCAGCTCCAGCTCATCAGCTTGTCTCCATAGATTTGCGTGTTCCTGAAATTTCATGCAAGTGGAATCATATGATACGTGGCCTTTTGAGTCTGGTCTCACCCACCTAGACCAGTCATCCTTCATTTCCCTTTATAACTGGCTCCCGTGAGATGAACAGACCACATTTTGTTTAGCCATTCCTCAGTTGATGGACATTTGGGGTATCTGCATCTTTGAATGATGCGAAGAATTTGCTATGACCATTTCTGGACACATTTTTATTTTCATTTCTTTGGTGTGTATATGCCCAGGGGTGGGGCAGCAACTGATCTTTTTATATTCTCACGAGCAGTGGACAAGGATTTCAATTTCTTTTCCTCCTCCCCAACGTTTTTTATTTTCCCTCATAAACTTTTTTTAATGATTAGCATCGTAAGTAAGAAGTGGCATGTCATTGTGGTTTTGAGTTGCAGTTCCCTGGCGATTAATGCTAGTGAGGTTCCTTTCATGAGCGTGTAAACCCTTTGTTTGTCTTCTTTGCAAAAGTGTCTATTAAGCTGTTTTAAAAATTTAACTGAATGTTATTTATTATTGTGGTATAATAGCCATAGCATAAAATTTACCATTTTCACCATTTTTAAGTGTACAGTTTAGTGGCATTAAGTGCACTCATGGTGTGGCACACAACTATCTCCAGAACTTGTCTAAGAAGATCATTTTTAGATTCACAGCAAACTTGAGGGCGGTATAGAAATTTCCCATACTCCTCCCGACCCCCACCCGCCCCATAACACCGCCCCACTGTCAACATCGCCACCAAGTTCAGTTGTTTGTCTTTTTAAGTTGTAACAATTCTTTATAAAATCTGGACAGGCCTCCCTTATGGCCTAGGGGTTGAGTCTCAGTCCTATCACAGCTACAGCCTGAGATAGATCCCGGGCCAGGGAGCAACCCACATGGCGAGGCAGACCTCTGCTGTCTCCCCGCTGCTCCCCTCAGCAGTGTATTTCAGTCAGTCTGCCTGTGCTGCTCCCTGCTCTGTCTCTGGTGAATCCTCTCACCCTCCACACCTCTGCCTGCACCCCAGTTCTTCTAAAAGACCCCAAAAAGATGTTGGGTCTTGTCAAATGCTTTTTCTGAGACTATTGAGAGGATCAGGAGGAGAGTTTACTTTTCTTCCCTTCTTGGAAGTTTTAGGTTGGAAATTCAATCTCTGTGGTTTTTCAGGGCTTGAAAAGACTTCTAGTTTTATAGTTCTGCCTATAAATAATCACAAGCTCATAGCCGCAGTAAGTGTTTAGGACGGATGAAAAAGCAAAATCAGCTCCTGCTTTGGGTGGTGCCACAGTCTGGAGGAGAGACATGAACACAGACGTTGCACTCATTAAAAACGAGGAAATTCAGGTGTGCAACTAATTGCTTTTTCCTCTGCAGAAAGGAAGATGGAAAGAAAAAGGGAAAGCGAGAGGGAGGCGGGGAGGGACGGACAGGAAGAGGGAGAAGGAGGAACACACGAAAGGAAGAAGGCTGAGTGAGAAGGGAGGGCATGCACATGGCGGTGCCTGGAAAAAGCGTTTCTTGAGCGTTTTGCTCTGACAGATTTTTCTGTAGGTTTGTAGGTTAGACTTGGGGCCTCTGTGTCTCTCAGCAGGTCTCTGGCCTCTCTGTGATCTGTGGTGTCTGGTCTAATGCGAGGACAACAGTTCGTGCCTGCCTTGTTTGCACCCTGAAAGTGGAGAATGATGGAGGTTGGACATAATCCAGTTTCCCCTATTGTTTAAAACAATAAAAGGGGGCCTCCCCGGTGGTGCAGTGGTTGAGCGCTGGGTTGTGAAGCTGCCCGCGGCCTCTGCGGCGCCGGTTCGATCCCCGGCTGCTCCCCGGCTACTCCCCGGCCACCGGAGGAGGGTCCCACATGGCTCGCAGACTGTACCCAGTGCATGTATAAACCAACCAACCAAACAAACAAATAAATACATAAATAAAACATGCCTCTATAAACAAACAAACAAACAAACAAACAAAAAAACAATAAAACGTTGGCCTCGCTGATCACATCTCCCTGACAACTTCCCATGCTTGGGCGACCTCAAAATGCCGTCCTTTCCTTTATTAATATGTCTGTGGCTGGTGGTAGCTGCCAACATGGCGGCGGGAAGAACAGGGACCATTTACTGTGGGAACTTGGGGTCTCTGTGTCTCTAGGATCTCAGGGTCAGGACAGGGGCTGGCCCACCAGGGGGGTGCTGGATCTAGATCTGTGAAGCCACCACCAGCTGAGACACTCTCACCCCGAGGGCTCCTTCTCTAGATGGCCTCATTAGGGCTCTGCCCATGCCCAGGCCATGGACTCTGTTCTCAAAGCCACCCCAGGCCCTCACTGCCCTGCAACGGGGGTCCCTGCTGGACCTGGACTGCAGTTTAGCCTAGGAGGCAAAGGGGCTTTTACCAGGTCAGCAGGCGGCACCTTGTAGGGCAGAGTGTTGAGTGGATGCTGAAACAGGGTTACTGATTCCCAGAGCTTTCAGCGACTGTACCCAGAGGCTGCCTTCATCCCGGGGGGACCGCGAGGCAGTGGGACAGCAGATAGGTTTTACCTACCGGGGAATCTGCGCCGGACCCACTGCCTGTGTTAGGGGGAAAGATGTCCTGAGCTAATCCCATGCAGGCTTTGTGGACTCCACCCCCCACCCCAGACCAAAGCCATCAGGACATTGGGAAAGACAAATCCCGTCACCACCAAAGGGAGGGTGGCTACACCTGTACGGGAAGGTGGCTACACCTGTACGTCCCGTCCCATCCCGGAGACGGCACCGCCGTGCCCACCTGCAGGAAGGACAGGGAGGCCCAGAGAGAGGGGGGTGCGCAAAGGCAGGGCGCCCCGGCCAGTGTGGATGCGCCTGCATAGCCAGAACTGCCTTTCGGGGAGCCCCTCTGCGCGGGATCTGGGTCTGCAGGCGGGTGGTCGGGGAAGGAGGAGGGGTGCCGGAGATGGCGGCCCCCGAGGGTGGGGAGGCGAGGCGCGGCCTTCAGGCGAGAGGAAGCGCCGAGGGCGGGGGGGGGGGGGGGGGGCGCGGCGGGATCCGCCCGGAGGCGCAGAATCTGAAAGGGGCGCCCCTGGGAGGGGGCGAGTGGGGAGCTCCGCGCTTACCCCGAGGGCCCCGGGCTGAAACTCGGGGTGCAGGGGGCGAGCGCGGCTAGGGGTGTGAGGGGGGTCTTCCGAGGGCAGTGGAGACCCGAGGGGTGGGGGGGCAGAACCCCGGGGGGCGGTCTCCGGCCGGGCGGCGCGCGGGCGGGGGGCCGCGGGGGGGCCGGGGGGCCGGGGCGGGAGGAGCCGGAAGCGCGCGGGGAGCTCGCCCCGCCCCGGCCCGGCCCGGCCCCCGCCCCCGCCCCCGCCCGCCCGGCCCCGCGCGCCGCCCGCCCGCGGCTCAGACCTCCCGGCTCGGCTCGGCTGGCGCGCGGCGGTGAGTGCGCGGGGCGCAGCTGGGGGCCGGGGCGGGCGCGGATGGGGCCGGCGGCCGGGGCGGGGGCCCGGGCGGGAGCACCTGCCCGGGCTCGGCACAGCCGGCGCCGGGGTCCGGCCGCGCGGGTCGGGGCGGCGCGGGGCGCGCGGGTCGGGGCGGCGGGGGGCGCGCCCCGCGGGGTGGGGTCCAGCGCCGCGCCGGGCCGGGTGGGGGAGCCGCTGGCGCGCGGGTCCCGGGCGCGGGGCCGCCGGGGGTCGCCCGGCCCCCCGCGAGCGCGCCCCGCCGGAGCCGGGGTCCTCCCCGTGGAGGGCGCGCCCGGGCTCCCGGGAAGTTGAGGTTCGCTCGGGTCCCGGCTGCGGATCTTAAAGTCGGGCTCCCAGAACCGTCGCGCGGGGCCCAGAACAAACCCGAAAAACAAACAAAAAGCTCCGAGGAGCGCGGACGCCCGGCCCCGACTCTCGGCGCGGGGGGACCCGGCCCCGCGCGTCTGCCCCAGCCCCGGGGTGCGCCCGGCGGGGTCCCTGACACCCCCGAGGGCCTGGGGGGCCCCGGAGCTGGAAATGAGGGGCGTCGGGGAAGGGGGCCTGGCCGCGGGCCGGCCCGGCAGAGGGAGACGACGCCCCTGGCCCCCGGGGCTCGCGCCGGGGGCCCCAGCGCTGGCCAGGCCCGTGCAGGACGCGGGCGCCCGGAGGTGCCGTCCCGCCCCCGGGCCAGCTCGGCAGGGCCCCCCCCTCTGCTTTCCAAATCCGTGCGGGTCCGGCCAGGGGGTGGGTGTTGGCAGGGTCGGGAGCAGGAGGGCGGGAGAACTGGGGGCCAGCGCGGCTCCCCCTGTGGTGACCTGTGTTTCTGGGTAGGGGGACTGATGTCGGAGCAGGCTTTGGTGGTTGGGAAATCCATTTTCTGGAAGCCGCAGCGCCTGCCCGTCTTGCCCTATCGGGAAGTCTCCCCCACAAGTGTTGTCAAGGACAGGTCCCTCCCCTTGGCCTGGGATGCTGGTGCTGGTTTGGGGAGTGCCTGGTTGGCCCTGCGGGTCCCCTGGGGCCCTTTTAGGGAAAGCCCTAGTTTGCATTGCTGTGTATTTGACTCCTGCCCCGCCAGCCTCTCAGAGTGACTCTTCAGTAGGGCTCACCGGGATGTCCAGGAAAGAGAGACACCTGGAGCGCTGCCGCCGTGTTTGACTGTAATAAGCCGGCTCAGGATGCTGAGAACAGGTGACTTGCCCCGCCTGGCAATAACAACACCTGTGCCACACTTGGCTCTCCCTTGGCCAGCCCCGGGAGCCTGGTGTGTGCACCACACTCAGAAACATTTGTTGTCGCTCTAACCTTGGCAGAGGCCCTCTTCCCGGTCACGTTAAGGCGTTGGTAATACTTGTTTTTATTCACATGTGAAAGAGTATCTTTGTAGTGTTGTCACGGATTAAGTGACTCCGTGATTGATCTAAGAGGGGGGCATCCATTTCTTAAGTCTGAAAAATACCAGATTGAAGTCATTTTGCTGTCTGGCGAAGAAACTGTCCTTTGTTCCTTGGGATCCTTTTTATGGGCTGATGCTGGGGAAAGCCTGGGTCCTCAAAGGACACAGAAGAAATGGCTCCTGGCCCTGAGGGGCTTATGCTAGTGGGGAAAAGAAAGCCGCACGCCCAGGTGAAAGAGCCAAGTGTTTGCTGGTCTCTGGTGACCCTGGCAGGGGCTTAGGCGTAGAGGAAGGGAGGGTGAGGAGCACGGGTGGTTTAGCAGCTGAGCAGAGGCCTGAGTTCTTGTGACGGGGACATGCGGACTCAGTGGGCGGCACTTCTGCTGAGCTGGAATTCCAGAAGGGACTCAGCGAAACTTTGGAGGGGAAGCAGGCTAACCCAGGGCCCGGGACAGCAAAAGGGCAACCGCTGAGAAAGAAGGAACCGGAAGGCATCTCCTGCCTAAGTACATTTCCAAGGCGATAAACAGTAGAACTGGGTGACATTTCAAGGGTTTAAGAGCACAGGCTCTGCCATCAACCGTCCCTGCCCATCAGCGGGCCCCGGAGACTGCAGTCCTCTCACTAAGATGAATCAGTCCAGAAAGCAAGTCATGGGGAAAAGCAGTTTGACCAGAGGGAAGTCCCAGAGTTTTGCCATTGTGACGTCTTCTGTTTGCTTTTGCTGCAGAAAATAGCACCTTGGGCAAGTCATCCACCACCCCACCCCCACCCCCTCCACCCGCATTTCTTCTGTACAGACCTAGTGTCTGCCCCCTCCCCCCTTTGGTTGTCCATGGCCTGTTTTGAACTTGATGTTAGCTTACCAGAAAATTGTTATTTGAGCTCACAATGGCACTTTCCTGGGCACTCACAATTGCATCTGATTGGCTGGGCCCAGGGTGGCACTCTGGGCAGCTGCAGAAACCCCCTTATCGCAGTAACCCCCTTACTGTGAGTATTGTCCCTTGGCCAGAGGTCACCTATTATATTTCAGAAGAACTGGGTGACATTTCAAGGGTTTAAGTTTACCCCAGTAGGTAGGAAGTTAATTCACCAGGATCCAAAAGCCTGAGGCACTTACTTCTTTATTCACTGACTTCAGAGAAAATAATGATGGGGAATTTGAACTACTTAGCTCTCAGAGCTTTTAGAATTGATGGTGCTCCTGGGGTCCATTTAAGAGCTTAGCATTGACTGGTCTTAACCTTGAGTCTAAGGGAGTTCTTCAAAGATGGTGCAGGGGATATTTTAAAAAGTTAAAAAACAATACAATTGACCCTTGAATAATGGGGGGTGTGTGTGTGTTAAGGGCGGTGTCTTCCCTGCACAGTTGAAGTTCTGAATTTTAAACTTGTTTCCTCAGAAACTTAACTCATAGGTTGCTGGAAGCCTTACCCAGAATATAAACAGTCAATTAACACCTATTTTGTCCGTCGTGTATATCATATCCTCTATTCTTACAATAAAGTCAGCTAGGGAAGAGAGAATGCTATCAAAAAGAAAACCGAAAGGAAGGGGAAATACACGAAAGCTCAAAGCACAGCAGCCAGGAAAGGTCCAGCAACAACCAACACATTATTTTCTTTTTTTTTTTTTAAGATTTTATTTATTTATTTATACAAGCACTGGGTACAGTCAGAAGCGCGGGAGGGTGAGAGAATTCACCAGAGCCAGAGCGGGGAGCAGAGCAGGCAGAAGGACCGAAGTACACTGCTGAGGGGAGCAGCGGGCGGCAGGAGAGGTCTGTTGGGCCATGTGGGACCCTCCTCCGGTGGCCGGGGAGCAGCCGGGGATCGAACTGGCGCTGCAGAGGCTGCGGGCAGCTTCGCAACCCAGCGCTCAACCGCTGCGCCACCGGGGAGGCCCCAACACATTATTTTCTGATGGAAAAAAATCCACATGTGAGTCCAGAGCCACCCGTGTCGTTCAAAGTGCGGATGACAAAGAAGAAAATCGGGCATAATCTCACCACGGGCACGAAACTACTCGTGTCAGTTTCCCCCGTTCGGCAGCCTGGTCTTTTGTCACGGAGCCTGTGTTTTTATGAGCTGTAATCGGGACAGTTTTTTCTCCTGGTGCAGCCCTGTTAATGCTCTCACGGCCCCGTTTCATCAAAAACCATCATTCATGTGGAAACGGGGGATGTGGTTTCTCCAGGAATCCAGAGGGAGATTGCGCCATCTGATTCTGGGGGGCAGCAGCTCCCCAGTGGCAGCATTTTCCATTCCACAAATCACTGTAATTTGTAGTTATTCCACATGGAACTTGGCTTTCAGACCCTGGTAACTCTATCTCTGACTTGTGCAGAAACAGACTGAATCCAGAAGGTGGAACCTGAAAACCTTTCTCTGGAATATTTCACAGTGAGGGTCCGTGTTTTTATTTATAAACACTCTACACCTTTGTTTCCAGCTGTAGGAATTTGTATTTGTAGGGGTTGGGGGGCGTCCTGTAGCCTGAAAACTAAGTTCCCTTTCACTGTAGGGCGGTCTCCCTTTTTGTCTAAATTCTTCCTCTTTATTTGGAGTTTAAGGAACACCGTTCACTCTGGGTATTTTCTGGAGCCACATGTTGGTTAAATCCCCTTATAACTAACAGCATCGCAGAATCTTTCTACCTGTGAAATTGGTGCCAGTGGTCCTTGGTTTAAGAATTCTGGGCAGCGCTGCTCCCCACTCTGTCTCTGGTTAATTCCCCCCCCAACCGGCCTGCACCCCAGCTTTTTTTTTGTACCCCAGCTCTTGTATGCATAAATAAATCTTTTAAAAAAGGATTTAATAAATGTACCCGTTATTAGATAGGCCTTTGGGGTTTTTACTCAGGTTTCATTGTGCTCACCTCTTGGTAAGAAGGTTTGTCTCGAAACCCTGAAAGACCAGTTCTCTATGGCTCTGCCAGCTGCCTCTCCACCCCGTGTACAAACAAGGCTATTTTCCTCACAGATCTATTTGCCTGTGCGCCCTTCTGTTACCGAAAGGATTCTTTTTTTCCTGGGGTCGTCTCTGCGATAACATTCACAGAGACTGATCCCTCTCCCGGAGTCCTCTCTGGGGCCTGAGGATGGGGGGCGGGGAGTGAAATTGAATAATCTTTTTCTTTTTCAATGAAGGATCTTCCAGGATTAAGTTGGTGGTTAGAAAGCAGCTTTATCTTCTCTGGAAGGCCTCGCCCGCTGCTGCGGATCTGACAGCTCCATCTAGAGACCCTCCCCTCCCAGCGTGAGGGTGTATTTTTAGAAGAGTTTATCACCCACATGTGGTTAAAACCGCTTTGTGAGCTCTTTAAAATCTACCTCTTACGGAAGGGGGTACAGACGGCTTGGGTGTGGGGTCAGCTGGGAGGAGCTGGGGAGAGTTCTCGAACTTCGTGTTGGGATAGCTTTTCCTTTTCCTTTTTTTTTTTTACCCTCCCCAATTAGAAGTATTAGTAACCCTGATCATCGCCCCTGCCTCCACTTAATTCCCGGCGTTTCACCAAAGTACATGTATCAAGAAGACTTTGAGAAGTGCTTTCTTGAAAAAATAAACTTTAAAGCAGATTTTGTTTTTTTACATTGAACTGCAATGCCTCTGGGTGAGGCCTGCCTGTTTCAGTCATCTTAGAGTTTCATCTTAGATCTGCTGGGAAGTTAGGGGGTTCCTGGGTACCCCTGTTGCTGACCTCTCACCTCTGCAGACCGGACACTGACGGGCCCCCTTGGCACTAGCCAAAGGCCAGGCGAGTCTCCTCTGACCCCTCCCATTTCCTCAGCCTTTGAGCCAAACCAGGCAGGGGGTTTGCAGAATTTACATCAAATTGGGCTTATCTGATGCTTTTCTCATGATTGCCCTGGGGGGATGGGGGAGTTGGGGGGTCAACCAGAGAGAGGAAGGGCCCCTTCTCACACACACCCGTCAGAGGTCGCCCTAACCTGCACTGCTCCTGAGTTAAGATGCCAGGAACCCCCCCACCCTTGTAACAGGCTCTTCCTTAGAAGCCCCCGCGGGTGGGGCGGGGAGGGGCCTTCACATGTCCCTTGGAATTCTTTTTCCAGGAGGACTTGTCTTTTCTTATTTGCAAAATACACATTTGTGAGGACCCCTGCTCTGGGTGGCCCCATGTTTGTGGGGTGTGCTCCTCTCAGCCCTGCCCCCCTTCCTGAGGCCCTGTGGGGACCCAAGAAGTTGGGAACACAGCCCTCACTGCCCAGCGAAGGGAGCCAGAACCTGACCTGCCGCCAGGAATCAGGATGCCCTGAGGGGAAGGCACCGGCACCCAGGGCTGGGCTGAGGGTTGGGGGTGAGGTGGGGTGGGTGGGTGCAGGGGCTGGACATCCCCCCAGCCCGACCTCACCTTACCCCAGTCCTGCAAATCTCCGCCTGGTTGTTTTCATGTTTCTCCAAGACAGGACAGTTAGAATACCTGTGGGGAACGGAGCCTGGGATTGAAGAAATTAGCAAATGACTCCAGAGAAACGCAATTACTTATTGGGGAGACAGACCCCCGTTTACCTTACCGGGAGGAGACGTCCAGGAATTAGTAACTCTGACTGGACACACGGTTTGACCTGCTGGGTTCAGTCGTGGGAGGCTTTGACGTAGCCAGCGCGGGGTGAGGTGGCAGGTGGAGGGGTGACCTTAGCCCCATCAGGATGCAGCGACACTGGAGTTGGTGGCCTTGGGTGTGGTGGGAGAGGACCCCTGAGCTGTGGCCCTGACCTCTGAGGACTGTTTATACTGATGGGGGTTATTGGGTGGCTTCCGCTGTGCTGGTT